AAATCCTTTAATGACCCAAAACAGTTTGCCTATAAGCACAGTAGAAGCACTTTAGATGCAGCTGCCGTCTTATCATAACATTGCTTCCAGTCTAGACAAAGGGGCTAAATTTGTTCGTTGTGCCTTCCTAGACTATACATCTGCTTTTGACTCGGTCCCTAGGGACATCTTATTAAATAAACTTGCTGCAAGTCAAACAGAATGTTGGGCTGTTAACTGGTTACACTCTTATTTCTCAGAAAGAAAGCAGTACACCGTGTATAAAGGGAAGTCTTCCACTTCATTACCTACTGAAGCTGGTGTCCCTCAAGGCGCTGTCCTTTCTCCTTTTCTTTTTTCTTTCTTCTTACATGACTTGCCTCACCCTGATGAAATAAATTTTGTGAAGTACGCTGATGATTTAACTGTTTCAATGGCTGTTAACTCCCAGCTAGATTGTACCAAAATAAATAGCTTTCTGTCGGGAGTCAGTAAATGGTCTGAGTCTAACGGTCTTAAACTGAATCCTTCTAAATGTCAAACTGTTAATTTCAGCTTAAGATGTAAACGACAGTTAAAAGAAGCCGTCGACTCTAATGACAGTTGTGAGATTGACGACAATGATATAGGAATTAAATCAGAAATTAAGTATCTTGGACTTATTCTCTCTTCTGATATCTCCTGGTCTTCCCATGTCTTAGCGATCTCCAGTAAAACATTCCGCCTGACATTTTACATTAAGAAGTTAAGGCACTCAGGTATAAATCAGCCCATCCTCTTACAGTTCATAAACTCTTGCATCCTACCTATTCTTCTTTATTGTTCACCCTTATTCTTTCCTGGTTTGCTTAAAAGGGACTTTGTCACAATTCGTAGAATGCTGAAGACTGTCAGTAGGATGAGTGGTGTCCCAGTGGACTACATAGTTAACGTCGTCGTCGATAGGCATCTGACTTCGTGCAGTAAATTCGCTAAAGGGATTTTGTCTGACTTGGAGCATCCACTTCACCCTCAGCTTTCACCTTGCATCTCCTCAGGTAGAACAAGAAGTAACTTCAGAAAACTGTATGCTCGCACGTCTAAGTATCAAAATTCTATGATACCATACTTGGCACGTATTTTATGTGATGAAAATAGCGTCAGGCAAGAATTGACTAACCTTTTTTCATCTAGTAAATAAACAATCTCCTCCATCCATCTTTATATACCTTCAAGTTTTATTTTTATTATTTCTGTTATATTTATGGTCCTGTTGATTCTTTGTTTTCACTTTCATAACTGCAAACACCAACTTATCTCTATGACTGCTGTAATATTTGTTTTTTCCCTCACCATATCATGCAAACAGAGCATTATATTCAATATCTTTAAACATGCAAGGATTTGTATACCGCATCGACAATACTGTGTGAAACAAGCCCACGGCAGTTTCCACTTGTATTATTATCATTACCTTAGCTGCTATCATTACTATTATTTCCATTTAAATGCTGCATGTTTTCTATTTTTCTTTATATTAATCCTATTGTAAATGTAGAACAATTTTCTGTGTGATTAATTTTATTTTTAATTTGAGGAAATTAGATGCAATATTGTGATTAATGCTGAAAATTCCATTCTGTATCACAAGTACTGTTTTTGGAATAAAGTAAATCATTATTATCAAAAAAATTTAACATTTATAAGAACCTGTTTTGATTGCTTGTACAATAAGTGAACAATTTAAGCTTTTGAAAAAGTATTGATTTACAATACTTCACGATTATAATTTATTACATAACTGATTGTGCCTGTAAAAATGGCGTGCATTTCTTGTAAACACCCATCAATAAATTATTATGGGATTCTTAAGAGAGAAGCCAGGATAGTATTTAGACCGACAAACTTACTCAGCGACAAGCTGTGTAGGTTAAAAGCCCTATAGAAGCCAATCTTTACATGAGAAAGCCTGAAACTATCCGGAAGACTCAAGGTCATTTCGATGGATGATACACTTCTTGGGCAGTTTTGCCAATATAAGTCGGCCATGTCGGATAGCTTTATTCACTGATTTTATGTTTATCCCGTGGTCATTTGCAAAAACCCTGAGTGCAGACTATTTATTATTGTTGCGTTTCACATCTGTTAGGTTCCCGTCGCCATTAAGATCAGTTATTTCTTTGATTTCGAAAGCTTTTGACACCAGGTAAGTTCATTCCTTTCATTTTAAATGTTTCTTGAGTTGCTCTCACGATTGTTTGAACTGTTGAAGTTATTTTCCGGCTGTTTACCACGCAGAAATTTTAAAAATTTTCTGTGCGGACACGCTACGGTGGCACGAGCTGCTATCTGAAGTTCATTTGTTGGTTGCTGTTATTTTTGCTGTTTCAAATAATTACACAGACCGCAGAAACCTGAGAAAAACAGCGTCTCTTCCGCTTCAATGCACTCACAGCAATCAGCCAAATTTCCAGTTTGTTGTCCTAATAAATTAGTACTTTCCATTGGTATAAAGGTATATTCGACAACTGCAATCCAGGATGGGTAATGGAGAAAGATAATGGATAATTCACGAGGCAGTTGTAGGATATGGGACCAGTAATGTTTGCAGATCACTTGTCGTTGTAAGTGGTCAAATATCTACATTCTTTATTCTCACTCAAAAAGTCATATAGAAGCTAAAGTGGTGAGAGAAAAAAGAGGACAAACAACAGCAGCACAAAAGAAAGCAAGTGGAGCCTCACTTTTGATCTGCCTAGTATGGGACAATACCGACCCAGCTTTCGTTGTTTGTACCCTTTTTCTTAGAAATGACCTTAACCATTTCAGTAATTTATTGCGAATTTCACATGTGAAGAATACTGTGTGATACCATGTCAGATAGCCTTGATTTATTGAAGCAGAGATTAACGACTAGCTTGCGTGCTTCGCGACTACTAGTGATGCAGCCGAAAAAGTCGAAGTGACAAATAACGCAGGACCAATTTTGAGAAATCCATGTTTAGACCTTGTAAGAAGATCTTCCCTAGGTCTAAGGCTTTTAACTGCTTGTCCCAGTAGTTGATTAGTGAGCACTATGCTCCCAAGGGAAGAGCTAGTAAGGGGTGCGTTTTCACCACAGGTGTGAGTTTTTAAACTAGAGTTCGCAAAACACTCACTGAAAAGTTCACAGATGGCGGCAAACTCATTGTAGATTAATTTGTTGTGAATTAAATAGCGTATATCTCTCGTCAACCACATTCGTTTTTTAAGAAGTGTTGTTAGGTTATAAACTTCGGAGGTACTTTTAAGTGCGCTTAACTCTTTGTTGAGGTCCTTTTGAGAACGTTGGCGCTTTATAGATTCAAGTGACTTGTGGATTGAGTGCAGTAGTGATATATCCTTAGTGGAATAGTACTGTTTCATCAACTTGCTTGACTTATTGCGGTATGCCCTTGGAATGTATTCAGCTTGGTGTCTACTTAATTTCACTATTTCCTTGGGAGCAACAGTATCTAGACTAAGGATAACACTCCTGTAAAATAGGGACACTACACCCTCCGGGGAGTCAGTGGTAAAATAGTCATCCCACTGATAGAGTCGAATGAGTTCTTGGACTAATCCCCAGTCTGTATGTTTGTAACTACGGCGTATCATGCTCTTTAAATCTTGTTTGTTTCCTGTATTTTGGTGGTGAGAAAGGCAGAGAGCAGAATATCATTCTATGGTTCCTTCTGGAAAATCTGTTACCAACATAGGTGGAGACTGGGATTGTGTCATGACAAAACGTAAAGTGCAACATGTTGTCATCACGGGTGGTTGTCGGGACATATTGTCGCCATCCATAACAATCGATGGTGGCATATAATTCGTCGAAGCATTGGAGGCCGGAACTACCTAACCACTTAACGTTTAGAAGATTGAAGTCTCCAGCAATTATTTTCTAATTAGTATTAAACGAGGGGACGTGTGCAAACGATTTAGCTAATAGCGCATCAGTTTCTTTGGTTGAGCATGGTGCTCGATAAACACAGCCTATGAGAAGTTTGTACTTATCTCCATGTAAGACGACCCAAGTGAATCAGGTAATCCATACAGTATTTCATCTTTCGCCTTACTGACTGCGAATGAGTTATGTATATATATGAGACATCCTCCACCACGCTTGCAATCTCTGTTTGCACGGTGTTCAGTGTAATCATCTATACCTATATGCACACCAAATATAGAGGATGAGCAATAATAATTACACGTAGTCTAATGATTTAGTAAATGTGAGTCTCGAGGAATAAACACACTACGCTACTGAGGACGATTTTGAGCAATATCACCAACAGTCTCCATCTATAACTCTTTACTATTGATTGGACACTAGTTAGTAGATAGTGTAACGTGTCTAGTCCTTCGTTTGTTGCAGACTGAATTCTATCAGTGGCAATATGGCCAATACTCTAGGTGGCTCGACATCACAGGGCACTTTGAGTAGTTGATATTAGATGGTTGGAGGCGATCAGCAGGAAGCCTTGAATTTACGTTTCGTGCCAGTTAACACTCACAAGTCAGCAACGCATATCTGCAGCCTTGAGGGAACGCATGTACCTTTTGAGTTTCGAGCCTGCCTCACTCAGTGCTACATTCAGAGACGTTACCACTGAGCTCTTCGAGCTCGCGACTGACCTCCTGTATGACTGTATTGGATACTTTGATTGGACGCTAGTTAGTTGGGAGAGTTTTACATACAATATCCAAATTCTGACTTCCGTTTTAAAAGCTTGAGTGTTCATGCATCTCATTTTACCAAATATCATAACCATAACCTTACTGCTAAGGAGTGAGCTCTGTAGAAGGTATATTGGACACAAGAGCTTTGATAGTTCCATTGATAGCATTTGAACTTTTGCGTTACATGTTTGTCAATTGGATTTCGCTTAGTTCTTTTGACCCGAAGTAGGTATACAACCAGATCATTGAAATTTTAAGTTTTTTTTCTATGTTGAAAGTGCGTCACTGTCAATGGATATTGAATTTTATTTAAATTATGGCATGCTTTAAGGGTTTCATCCCGGTGATTTACGGCTCAAATCTTTGTTAATCTTCTTTGTATTTCTTCAGTCGGCTCACAAGTAGGCTTACTGAATATATACTCATTAATTCTGTAGGTGGATTTTAATAGTGATGATTAGGTTATAGGTTTGTGATCATACCCCGAAAAACGTGAAACAAACAGCGAAGCGTTGAATTTTTGTTATGTAGTTCTTTCTAGCCCTAACTGGTATCTTTCTGACTATTTTAAGAACTTACCAAGTAGGAGTAGTGAGTAGGTGTGTAGAGAAAATGGGTTGGCATGTACGGCCCTCGACTAGACATCCTATCCTGCTTCCTAGCTTGAGACACTACGTCTTGCTTTCTTGTCATCTGACTTCCAGTATACTCCCCAGCAGCAGCAGTATGACTTCATTTATAGAAAGCACTGTAGTTTATATACAATAGCGTCTTATAAGACAGAGAACTTGAGGGAATAACTACCAAGCTCAATGATTTACATTTGACCATGGGAAATCAATCAGAATAATAGGACAGTAATGCATAGAAACCTGTATTTAAGGCTAGTAAGGGAGTAGAAATAAGTAAGCCATCTACATTAAAATACACCTTTGTCCTGCCAACTTCCATCTGTTGTCACGGTTGCTACCGTTTGTCTGTATAACTGGGAGTATTTTCAGGAGTGATGGGTTCGTTATTTCATTTATGTATACTGACCCCCACTACTTACAGAAGTATTATGCAGTATTTATGGATGGCCCAAAAACAAAGAACAGGACTGGCAATATAACAGGTGAATGTGAAATATGTTTAATTGGCGAAGTTAGACAATAGCATCCCAAGGGATGCGAACGCACGGGTGACTAGAGCCGACCAACCGTGAAAAAACGACGTTTATTTACAAGAAAATGCATGAAAACACATTAAATGGGATATCTTTCTCTGGCGTGACCTAGAAATATATCCTAGTTATAATGAGTATCAGTTTTTAAGTTAGACCAGTGTCTGTACATGTATTCACTGAGGTGACGTAAAGTGAGCTTTTTCTGCGATCCGCTTATCACTCTTATCCTGTTTCGCAGCCCTCGGTTGAATTACCATGGTCTCCAATAAGAGGACCAACAACTAATTACTGGGATAATGTGGGTAACAAAAATTAAAATAAATAATACCAACTCAATCTGTCCTTAATCGTAACCGTAATTATAACCTTTATCGATAAGTGTTGGGATATCCTAACTCTAACGACCTAATAACACATTGTCCAAACAGTACTTAAAAACGTAATCTGAGTGAAATTTGTTCCTTAGTTGGTGAATAGCGTTCATGTTTGGGCTATAATGACAAGTGTCGTTAGCCAACGACTAGCATGCGCTCAAGATCATTGTTTAACTTCGACGTTTAATTGTTGGATTACTCTGACGGAATGATTACCGGCGGCATTACTCCTCTTTCTGTCACAAGGTGTTTCAGTACTTTACTCGTATTTTACCAGTGATGGTTCTTCAGAATTCAAGAGACTGATGATTATTTCGGTGTCTTAGTTGGCTGATTCAGAGTACATTGCCTCAACTCAGACTGAGGTGTCCACTTCTCATCTGTCGGGTAACTAGGATCTTTATGGACTGGTAGGGATCCTTAATTTGGATAAGGATGGTAAACAAGTTTTCAGTTAAAACGGTCGTAGGTTAAACCCCAGTGCTACACTTCCTAACAAAATCCAACGCTTGCTATTATTATTCACGTTAGACGTAGCAAAGTAACAACCTCTGTGGAGCTTATTTTTAAGCTGCTTCCTGTCTTATAAACCTCAGGATTAACTTGACTGAGTCATATTGGTTTCGTCTTTTCTAGTAAGTTTATGGGAATCACCACTACTTTAATAAACTTGGCACAATATGAGTAACCGAAAATGTGGTATACAAAATAAAATCACATCATGAGGAGTGGGAAGAAAGTAGTTGAGAATTAGCAGAATAATTGGTCAGGTTTCCCAACTAGTTTCATTCTGGGCTGTGCTTTTCTCAAGTCGTTACTGATCTGATTCTTGAAGCGTAAGGGATCACCATCCTGAAAGTTTAGTGGCACTAACAGTCTAACCTGACTCTTGTCCATCATCACACCACACCATATCTTCGCATCCCCTGACAAGTCACTGGACTAGAAAACACTACGTTGTGGGAGCTTCTGAAGCGAGATTCATTGCCCATTTAAACCATCGGACTAGTTGTCTCGGAGTGACATCATTTATTTCTCAGATATTAGCCACAAAAATCCAGAAATATTCGATGTTACGAGTGTATGCAACAAGTTCGTCAGATGGAATCAAACAGTAAAAGCCACTAGAAATGTTCAGATTGATATGTTGGAATTAACTCCCCCCAGTCCACTCAGGTAACCAGACACAATTCGGATTGTTTCAACATAAAACTCTGTGAGTCGGTGAACTCGACTCCAAACGGGTGAAATAACCGAATAGTGTTTGAACCACATTGGTATGGTTAGCTAGTATCAGTGGTAGGTAAAAGTGATTTTCGAGTACTCCTGTTAATCAGGAATACGGTTACCGTTATATTTCCGGTAATGGCGTTAAGCAAATCATACTGTAATCAAGATATTTTCCTTAAAAATTTAGGGTTACGATATCTTTACTTCTCAATAACAAAGTACCGTTGTGAGTTTGTGGAGTGCTATAACGAGCTTCCAGAATCAGATTTACCACGCAACCTACTATTTTTAAGTTGATTAATTTTAACTATCCATGAAAATATATTGTGGCGTGGAAAAGACTGACTTCATAAGCCTACCAAACTGCTTTTCATCGTGCCTCATCCAATGTTTTACTCACCTTTAAAAGCCACCGGTTAACATACTGTCTGCTTTAGGCAGTCTCAGTAACACTAAACTTCTGCTAGCGGCAAGGATGAGTTGTAAGTTTCTAGATGCAGTTGCTGTTTTCCTTGTGGCTACAATGCTACTCACTTATTTAGTAAGCATCGGATAACTTTACTCATAAGCTTAATACACTACCGTACTCACTGTCCTCATGGATTGGATGATGAGTGTTTGATTGCATGATGGATGAATGTGAAACTTCTTACGAAAGAGTATCAATTCAAGGTGTCATATCGAAGAGTAGAAAAATTGTTGGGGAACTAAAATATATAAAGATGAATGATTAAATAAAGATTACTGAAGCTTTCCAGAGTCTGTAAAATGATAAAGAGTGAACACATACGCTTCAGTAGTTGATTTTTAACATATTGAGAACTCAGTTCACACGACCACGTGAGATCGTGTAACGCTTTAGTGGGTCGGTGGTATATTTTTGGCAACGTAATACCGATTTATCTAACTTGGCTTGCTGAGGAAGACAGTAGCCCATCATGTGTAGCACACGCTCTGCCTGCGCTGATCTATCAAGATTCATAGTTTTTCCGATGGACATTCTGTGTCTTACTTTACTATTAATATATGTGTAAAACTTGGGCAGTTGTAGTAAGTAATCCCTTATTAGTTTGTTTATTAGATATATAGTGGCGGACCACAATTCAAGCCCCACACTCAGAAACTGAATAACGAGACTAAAAAGATACCTTCAGTGCAGCCATTAGAACAAAGTCGGGGACACTAAGTAACATCAGAGAGGAAAACTGTGTAAAAGGACATTGGAACTCCCTGAAAGTGATATTTCAGGGAACGTATACTTCCGGTTGAGGAAGAAAGGAGAGGTAAGATAGGGAATGGCTTTTAACGGACACCTGAAAGCTAATAGAGGAGAGAGAGATGGTGGAACAGAAGATGAACCAATGCAAAAATGGACAACAAAGGAAGAAGCTGAGTTCAATTGATAACTCACTGAATAAAGTAGTGGAGAAGAGTGCTAGAAAAGACAAACGGCAATTCTGCGTCATACTGGAAACCGATGCAGAACAGGCCATGGGTAAAAAAGACCTCATAACCTTATAGTCAATAACGAGGTTGTTGTCGAGGAAGCGATCAGCACACATGAAACCAATGATAGACAGCGAAAGGAACCTAGTTACCAAAAAGGAAAAGCAAAGGGGACAATGGGCTGATTACCTCAAAGGACTCTTGAATCGACCACCTTCTGCAATTCGTCCAAAAATACCACCAAAAGCCACAGCACAGCTTGTGAACACCACTAAAAATAAAAACCCAGAGACCTTAGCGGATGTCCTCACGCTAATATTGCAGATAAAGTTGGAAGAAAGGAAATATACCTACTGGTTTGAAGAGAGGCTACCTTGTCAAAATTCCAAAATGGGTAACTTAGGCCTTTGCAGAAACTGACGTGGAATCATGCTGTTGTCCACACCAAGCAAAATATGAAGTTGCGTCATCCTGGAGAAACTGACGCTGTAGACGCAAAACTCCCGGAACAAGCTGGATTCATGGAAATCAAACCACATGTGGATCAAATCGCAACGCTACACATCATCATCGAAGAGAGCATAGAGTGGCAGTCAGCTCTTCACATCAACTTCAGTGAGTTTGAAAAGACCTTCAACATCGTTGACCGCAACGTAATATAGAAACTGCCCCAATATATTAGAGTGTGGTGCACGAAGTCTTATCAACCTCACTCAAGACCTATATGGAAATGTCACATGTCAAATGATTCACAACTGGAAACTCAGCGAAGCCTTGGGAGTGAAGACAGGAGTAAGACAACACTTTCTACTGTCACCGGTGATATTCCTAATAATGGTGGAGTGAATCATGTGACAGACTGTGGAGAGCGAGAAGATAGATATACGTCGAACCGATAAGAAGGCTGTAGAAGATATGATTTTTGTGGATGATTTATGTCTGATGTCATACAAAGTCGAAAATATACAGGCGAAAACCAAGAAGTTGGCAGAAGAAGCACTGATGACGTGACTTCAAGTGAACATAGAGAAGATAGAAGTGGTGAAGACACCTAACCACCACCACCAACAACAGCCAGAACCAATCACTATCAACAGAAGAAATTTGGACGCCACTTCTTTCACTTATTAGAGTACCATCGTTTTAACAACAGGCAGTTGGCACGGATGAGGATGTCAAAGTGAAGATTAGGAAAACAAAACATAAATTAATTACTCCGAAGTCAGCGTGGAAACCTGCTGCAATCAGCACAAAGGAAAAGATTCAAATTTTCAACACTGATGTCATCAATGCTTCCATATGGTTCAGAAACTTGGTGCGTCACGAAGAGCTTTTCGAAACGGATACAGGCTTTCATCAACAGCTGCTGTCACCGGCCCGATACTGAAGGTCAGATAACCAGAGAAGATAAGCATTAGGTAACTCTGGAAATGAACCAACCAAGAACTTCTTGCCCATCAAATATGCCGAAGGGAATAGACATGGATCGGAAACATGCTGAAATCGTTGAGTGACATTGCACTGTAGGCCCTTGAGTGGAACCCGAATGGGAAACGACGAGTTGGGAGTCCAAATGTGACATGGAGAAAATCATGTTAGGAGGAGATGAGAGCTTATGGGCGATCGTGGAGCCAGTTAAGGAGGACTGTAGACGGCAGGAAAACGCGGAGATGTGATGTCGAAGTCCTATGTTCCATTCAGAACCATTTAGGTGGGAGCATTATCACTTAACATAATAGAATATTATGTTCGGTCTTTATTTCTTGATCTACTTGTTACAGCTATATCTTAGTAAGTATTTTACGTAGGTCTTATTTGATGATTTCTGGAATAAACTAAGTTTGAACTAAAGAGGACTTTTTCTAAATACTTAAGAACTACAAAATCCAAAAAGTTTCATTAATCTGAATGAGTTATTAATCTGAATTACTCAATTGTGTCGCTTTTCAGCTAGATCATGTACAGTTATTTTATGAAGAAAATTAGAAGAAACTACAGAAGCAAAGCTGGTGATTCAGATGAAGAACAAGGTCAAGAACCGGAGAGTTTATACGATGCAGCCATGAAAGAAATGAGTTCACAATGTAAACCAGAGAACTCGTCAATTAAAAAAAACAAAAGTGTTTTAAGCTTTGAAGATGATCTTGACCCAGGTAGGTAATTGTTTTTTATAGTTTCATGACTTTGTATTACAGACGATGGAGATACTTTCAAAGTTAAAAAATCTTCTATGAGTCGTAAGGTTTCCAGGCATACAAAAGAGAGTAAAAAGAAAAAAACACAAGAAAATGATGGAGTGAGGATAGTTGGCAATTGCCGCGAGAATTTAGTTTCATATGATGAAAGCTCTCCCGACCCAGAAGAAAGTCTTGAGGTACCATCTGTTCTATAGAGCAGTCTCTTTTATTAGTATAATCCAGAACCTAAGAAAAGAGCTACTAGATTTAACTGAGGAAGAAACAACTGCTGAAATAACCCCGTCTGTGAAACCTGAACCCACTAATGTGACTTCCTTGATAAAACGTATGTTCTCCTACATGTACTTAATTTTCAAACAGAAGGTTTGATTCCCGACGCTGCAACCATCCATTTGGCCCGCAAGCAGCGTGAAAAAGCGAAGAGCCTTTTTGAGTCATCCGATCATTCTCCCACACACTATTCGTCTAGTAAAGATGACGGTAGGCGCCTAGTCAGGTAATACTTAAAATTTTAATATTTTTTGTATATTACTAAACACGTGGCAGTTTTGTTAAAGTATCTTGTTTTGTTGTGCAGAAAATTCTATTCAACTTGATAAGATTATTTCCATTTACCTCGTTTACTTCATATGTTCCACTCTAGTTGGCGCGGTGATATGAATTTCAGGTGACTTGAACACTAGCCAGTCATACTAGGTCCTGTGTTGTTAATGTCTACCTATTATTTTGTGGAGAAGAGCTTACTGAAAGGTTACTTACTCACTGTCTGCAACCAGTTTTATCCGTATTGCCTACTATTGCACTATGAAATCATCGAAGGTTTTCTTCACTACAAACTGTGTCTTTCTGGAATCGAAGTTTTATAGTTTTGAAAAAGTGCTTTAGTTGAACATCATTCATTCTAGTCACCTACAAGATAAAGTATTCTGATTAAATTGTACATTATGGACACAGAAACAATAAAACAGCAGTATATAAGGAAAACTGGAATAGAATAAATGAGAGAGGTCATCCATAAAGTAAGTTAACTTGTCCAGATCATTCAATAGTCATCACTTCATGTTACTTTCAGAAGAAAAAGAAAGAAGGGAATCGCAACATGTTCGCTATCTATTGCCATTCTCGGCCATATCTGATAACGCATCGAGCCACCGATTCGAACTATCTTTCGGACCCCACTCAGAGAGTCGTGATGTACCAATGGATGCTAACCTAACACAAATGTTAATTCCAGTAAAACGTTCGAGCGTTGTGGAATAGATCAAATAAATTATAATTATAATCCAATAGTTTACCCACAATGATAAGTTTTTGCTTTTGGTAATATTTCGAGCAAAATTACTACCCGTGATCACACCAACCGTTGGAATTGTTTTGTTTTTAATTGACACTTTTATGATTTGTACTCATATATATAGTTCACTTTTTTGTCCATTCACTTTTGTGTATCCAGAGTTATATTCCAGGTTGTTGATGGTTGTACTGAGTCACTCTTGTGACGTGATTACGGGCAGTAATTTTGCTCGAAATATTACGAAAAACAAAGACTTATCTTTATGGGTAAACTATTAAAATCTAATTATAATTTATTTAGCACAAATATCTTCCATTTATCCCACGACGTCACATTATAAGCTGACCACCTCTTTTTCCATTCATTCCCGGGTCTAGCAAACAGCAACCGGTATGGGATCCTCTAGGATGACATTCGCAGCACGTATCCAAGATACCAACGCTGATGTTGTGGCTCTTCTCTTGGTGCCCATAATGTAAGAAGTCTGTGAAGCCGACAGCACTCAATGAATGGTGTCCAGACACCTCAGAATTACTTATACGATGATGCAGCTCTACGGAGGCAGCAATGATCGATTACTAAGAGTGGACGCACATCCCCAGCTCGGAGAGGCCATGTTTCATTGTTGTAGAGCAAGACTGCGCGCACGGAGGCATTGTAAACCCGACCTTTGACAGCTGGGCTGGCGTTGCGACGGCATGATAGGTGATCGAAATCGGCGTATGCCGCCCTGGCCTCCACTATACGAGTAGAAATTTCGTGCGTCACACCTCCGTCGACAGTCGCACAACTACCCAGATACGCAAACTTGTCAACAACTTCAAACAATTTACATGTAGGGGTCAGTGCAGGTACAGGGGCTTACCAATTTTGCAACAATACTTAGCACTTACACCGCTCAAAGCACATATCATACCTTTAAACACTTACAGTATGATTAAATTGACAATTCAATAGTATTTTGATCTTTTGGTCAAATCAATTTAGGCCTGTGGTGAAATGTTCACAGTACATGGCTTGGAGACCATCCCGTAAACCCACGTTAAACTATCAAAACATTGCCTCACAAAGAATAGCCTTGTGGATAGTTGTCTATACATCTGGCATTGGCAGACTTTGAATTTAGTGTTGTTGTTTTGATAATTGCATCAGCGTAATATTCAGCTCAGCCTGTTGGCCAATGTAGACATTTCTTGGCCATTTCTGACTTTCATTGCTGTGTAATTTCCTTGATTGCTGTAAAAGATGTGTTAGAAAGCGAAGCTTAGTTCCAGTTGTTCTTATTTTCATGCTATATCATTGTCTTTTTACAGGGAAGACGATGATGTGAGTGAAGATGAGGATGCAGATGACGACGTGACAGTGTCATATTCGAAATCTGCGACGGAGACCAGACCGGTCTTTGTAGTCAGTAAAGAACGTGAAACTGTCAGCAAACGCTCAGTTATCGGTGTCCGTCTGAACCGTCGTGAAGAAGAACTGAAGTGTATCAGAGAAGACTTTATGGCAGCTGAGCATGCTAGTGATCGAGATAGTGATCAAGAGACTGAATGGGAACGTCAACAACTTCAAAAGGCTATGATTAATCAGGTTGGTTATCAACTATCTATGCTTTTATAGCTTTTATTTAGCACTATGAGACGTCTTTATATTCGTGCCTATGCGTATATTAATTTAATTTTACGATGTTACACAAAGGAGTGTGATCACTCATTCAATGGATGTTCAATAATGTTTACATTCTGCGTTTTACTACTTGTTAGTAGGTAGCTGCGTTATTACAAAATGATAGTTGCCGCCTACTTTTCATTCTGAAAATTTTTTAGTTTTTGTATGAAATGTATGACTATGAATAATGAGCTTATTAGTACAGTTTCATCCAATGGAAAAGCGTTTATGAAATTTCATAAATCAGTCTCTACTCCTGTAAATAGATAGACGGATTCTGTGAATACTACAGTATCCAAGGTTCTTCCATGTCAGCAATACGTAATATGGTACATTAACTTCTCTAAATAATCTTGAATCTAAAAAAAAATTCCCTCCCTTTGATTATTTTTTCAGAATCCTGCCGTTTTAGAAGCCATTCAACCAATTCTTTCATCTGGAGATTCTAACAATGGAGCGATATCCAAAGCTGGCACTCTGCTTGCTGGAATAGATGTTACTAATATAACTTTGTCAAAATTAAAATTAAATCTGGAACAGAAGTTAGTTTCGAAGTTGAAACAATCTTGAAACAATGCATTTTCCCAATTTCGTGTTTTATTGCAACTGGATGTTCACAAATTGCATGTGTAATAGTTCTTGCCCAGGTGTTACATGTTGACTGGCCAATGTTCTGTGAGGTTTTATAATAGGCTTGTATCGATATCGGCCAACTTCGTCTACCGTTACAATAGGTGTGAAGACCATCCCAGATTAGGTGTCATGTGATAATATAAGAGGTCGTGAAAAGCTGTCTCCTATGTGGACGTTCCGTATCTTTGAAATCCAGCGGTAAACACTGAAGTTGCTTGATGTTGCCTTTTTGTTTATACACATTTCTGTGTATACGTTATTGTTATCTCCCGGTGACATTGTAAAAGAGCACCCTTATTAATGTGGTGGTGAACATTTGCGTTTGAATTTTTGGGTAGATTTGTTACTATTAATGTTTAAGCCTTTATCTTTTGGTGTCACTAGGCGTTATTTTCTAGGGTAATTAATGCCGCACTACAGATGATGACTAATTTGACGTCAAAGGCTTTGTCCGTAAGAGAACAATCTGGAAATACCAGATTATTAGAAAAAGGTTTTTATAATTGTTGGCTAGCAATTTCTTTCAACATCATAGTCAAAAGTGTTTCAACTGGATGATTCAAGTTTGTTGTCTTCGTAAATGATTTTTACTCATAATTTTTGGAAATAATCGATATATCGTTTGTATTTCTTAGGTATAACAAACTAAATGGATCACTAAACGAGCATAAAACAACATTGGAAGATTCAAAAAGAGATTTAGAACGAGGAAAATTAATCATTGATGATGCTCGTGGAAAACTGCCTAGCCTTGCAAAACGCTTTGTGTTCTATCAGCAAATGAAGGAGTATATAGATGACTTAATATCTTGTTTCAATGAAAAGGTTGGTAGTTTGCTTCTCCATTCAAAAATTTTTTATGCATTTGTAATGTACTTTTGCACATATTTGTTGGTAAGATATTTCATTTCCTCAAACTAATAAAATTAATTCTTTCTTCCGGAAGATATTGCATTGGACACGGATATATTCAGCTGCTTCTTAGAGTGAAGTTTATTGCTTTCGAAATTGATGTTGTACTCATCGAAGTGTTGACAATACAATCTTTAATTGTCAGAATAACATTACTATGAGACAAGAGTGGATAAGATTGGTTCATAACGTTTTGTTTGTTGACATACCACTGAAAACACTATGCATATCTCATTGTCTCCATAACTCATATCAATGTTGAGATACACAATTTCTTCGATTCACCCGCGAGGGTTAGTGTGTGTACAGGCCTCTGCAAAACTTGCAAAGTTGTGTTCCACTCTGATAGTGCAGAGCAATTATTAAGCTTACGGGCATTGACTACCAGTCGATTAAGCTGGATCCGAATAGCCTATATTTTGTTGCGTAGTAACATGACTTTGCCAGCATACTGAAGTCCTAGTAGGATTTCCGCAGATTGCAGTTGAATGTCACCCCAACTACATACATCGTTCATAACTCTCTTCCGGTATCTGAGATGAGCTGGAACAGCTTCGAAATATTACCAGATGTAGCTGCTGTTTTCATCTCACAAGCTTGGAGATCCTTACTTCGTCTGACAATATGCGAATAGCTTTATGCAGAGACTATACCCTCTGTTTGCGTGAATATGCTAATAGGTGTTAAGAAGTTGCAGAGAACTTTCAGAAATCCAGTGTTTTTGGCAGAATGCTCTAAACCACAAGTGATTGCAGACTTCATCTTCATGGCATCTCGCAATTATCCCAGTGTTCGTCTATTCATTCTTGAACCGTGAATCTAGTTACTTAGTCAAGCCACTTATGTCAGCCACTCTGTAATACCGTTTGTTGTGACTAAAACGCAAGCTTTCCTCACACTAAAGTGTTATCTGCGTCCGAGCAACCTCTTTAGAAGGAGCAGTAGTCCTGTATGGATCCATGGCATTGTTAGCTGATATCCGTATGATCTGTTTCATTGCAGGTTTCAGTGGCACGTATCAAATAACGCAACGGCGATGGCCGTGCAGGAGGTCGATGCTTGCCCAGAATAGGTTGTATTTTGCGTAGAACTGCAGATGACATGACACATTGGTTTAAGCACTGCTTTTAGCCAATGGGTCATGGATTGGAGTCCCTCTCAACCTACTTCAGGCTTGACATCTGGATGGCACTAGCCGAAAACTGCCACCTTGTCGTGGTGGTCGAGCTTATATATCGCAGTGACCCAACAAGCTAAACTGGCTGTGACTCATGTTCCTGCAGGTCGTACCTTGCCAGGAAGGTTGTTGGGATAGCGGTTAGACTAAAGGCAGTTACTATTGGGTACATGGGCTCTAGAATCCAATCGGATCAAATGGTGTATGAAGCTGTATTGCTCACCGGCAACCATGGGAACTTAGCTACTGACGCTGCTCCGCTGCCTTGTGGGTTAGATTCCAAGTCAAAGGCTTGGGGGTGGTCCTTTAAGACAACCACCTACTTTGGTCTGGGCGCCCGAGCAGTATCTCAGCCTTCACACAATCAATGAAGTGAAACAACAAACTCTCAGTGAAACTTATTGCACAATAATGATGTTTAAAGTGACGCACCTCTTCCCAACCTTACCTTTATTTTTATACATAGACTCCTGTGTTTTACTTTTGCTATCCTTGACGTCTTAAGTTTCGTCAGCCTTTCACCTTTGTCTGAATTCCCAGACTATCTGTGCCGTTTCGAGAGGTTAGTGAGTAGCCTTCAAAAGGTTTGTACCCAGTGAGACACCTTACACAGATATCCTGAAACCGCGTGTCGCATTCAAGCTGGCCACCTACAATGTTCGGACACTGATGCAAATCAGACAACAGGCAGGTTTGGTGAGAACATTGGAATGCCTCGCTATCTATGTCTGCTGAATTTCGGAGACCCGCATTCAAGATCCCAGTGAAGTGCTTCGATTAGCCTCTCCATCTGAAATTTCGTATAGTATGTACCACCTGCGCTTGTCCGGGGACCCTGTGGCGTTGGCATCTGGCGTAGCTGGTGTCGGTGTCGCACTAGGCGCTAAAGCTGAAGCTGCATTACTCGACTGGATCCCCATTAACAGTCGTTTATGTGCTGTGAGGGTAGAAGGTTACACGAAAGTAAGGAGTGGTAGGCCAGACAGGCGATGCCTATTTGTTGTCTCTGTTGATGCACCGATGGATTGCAGCCCGGATGGAACTAAGCATGAGTTCTACTACCAACTGAGAGATACCTTGAAACGGGTGCGTCGGAGGGATATTGTAGTACTGGCGTCTAAGCTCAGAGGAGAATCGTTTAGGTGGTCAGCGGGGTTTACATGGTTGCAGATCAGATAATTGAGACCGTGTTCTGCCAGCTTTAACTTCGGGCACAGCCATCACCGTAGTGCAACCTGTCGTCCTCCCTGTGCGAATCAAGCTTGGACTCAGATCGATCATATTGCTGTCAGTTTCCGGTGGTGAGGCTGCATTACAAGACTGCTACGCCTTCTGGAGCACACGACTGGACTCCGATCATGCGTTAGTGTGTGCCACGTTCGTCTTTCGGTTTGGTGGGGTCCATAAACGGCGTCACCTAAATGCTGATGTGAGCAAACTGGTAGCACCTACTACTTCTTTGAAATACGAGAATGAGTTACAATCAATGCTTGCTAGCAACCCCACGTCCTAAGTAGTATAGATGAACATTGGCTTCATCTGCAATGTGCCATGCAAATGGCGACTGCAGCCGCTTGCGGCTTAAAAGAATGCTCCACTAAAATCCACTGGGTTTCTGCGAGTTCGTTGCAACTCCTGGATGAACGCCGGTCCATTCGGGCTGGCAGCGAATACAACAATATGCGAAAGGCGCTAACGCGCAAGATTAGACAGTATTTACGTAGGGATCGCGAAGCTTGGTGGTCAAAATGTGCGTGTGAGATGGAGTCAGCTGTTGCATCTGGCAACAGTCGGAAGCTGTCCCAGCTCATCCGAGCCACTGGCAGCAAGAAGCGAGACGGTCTGTGAGGAGCTTGTACCTGCAATCACTCTCGCAGATAAACCACCTGAAGTTGTTGATAAGTTTGTGTATCTGGGTAGTTGTGTGAGTGCTGGTGGGGAGGGGTGACGGATGAGATTTCCAACCGTATAATGAAGCCTAGGGTGGTATACATCAACTTGAGTCACCTCTGGCGCCGTCGCGACGTTAGCCTGGCTGTCAAAGGTCGGGTATGCAATGCTTCGGTGCGGAATGTCTTGCTCTACGCCTGTAAAACCTAGCCTCTCCGAGCTGAGGATGTTCGGCGGCCATGCGTATTCGATCATCGCTGTCTCCGCAGGATTGCTTGTGTTCGATGGCATCATCCCGAGTAATTCTGAGATCCGATGGCGAGTGTTTGGACACAGTGGAGATCACTATTTGTTGAATGTCGTCATCTTGAAACGCCAACTTCGGTGGCTTGGACACATGCTGCGAATGTCATCCCAGAGGCTTCCGTATAGGTCTCTGTTCGCTATACCTGGGACGGGATGGAAAAGGCGGAGAGGTGGTCAGGCCATGACGTGGCATCGTGGGATGAAGGATATTTGTGCTAGATTAGCATCGGTTGGTGAGTCACGACTCCCTGGTTGGAATCCGAGAGATAGCTTGAATCGATGGCTCGAAACGTTATCGGATATGGCCAAGAATCGTAATCAATGGCGAACGTGCTGCAATTTCCTTCTTTCTTCCCTTCCCGATGGTAACTGACGAATGCTGTTTGAACTTGTTAAATATAACTGTTTTCCTTCTAGATGAAGTTCTTTATTCATTTTCTACTTATATTTTTACTTTTGATCTATGTTGTTTTATTATTATTGTATGTCGCATCTTCTTGGTGCCATATTGTACCAAGTTTTTTGTGTTTAAATAATAATAATAATAATAATAAAATACCATTCTCCCTCACATGTAAGTGTGATCCAGCCTAGTTCTGTTCTATATAATTGAGTTCAAACAATCGGACACGCAATGGACCGTCCCATTATCTAATCTGTGACCATCTATTCCCCACTGACCTTCTAAACAACTCTCTTATAAGCCTAGACTTCTGACTTGTGAATTCAATTCTCCAGCTAGCAATACGATTTTTGTCGAACACTTGGTTAAGAGGGTAATTCAGTTTTCGGTACAGCTCATCGTTGATGGCATTCATGCTGCAATATGTTGGTGTATAGGCCGTAATGACGAAAGGATAACTTTTTGGTCAAGTTGCTTTTTACTCTAATACAATCCTCTGGTCTAGCAGCACATGAAAGACTTCTAGTGGAGATCGAAAGAAGCAGTACAGTGTAGTGAGACACCCAAACCAGTTTGCCTGAATGTGAATGTTACATAGTCGTCAGGCAAACCACGTGGAATGTACTTTTTGAGCTCTCTTAGTCTTTAACTTAAACCCCGATTCGCAAGACTGTATTCATAGTTGTTGGTGATCCAAATAGGTTCATATGGCATCCATTCTTTTCAGATCGTGGATTCTTTTCGCGGGATTTCATTGCTTTTGGTTGTATAAGCTTTATTATTTTTAGCATTATTATCATTTACCCGAAAATTGGGATCATCTTTACTATCAATTGTTTCCAATAGAGAAGTAGAAACTTATAAACGCTTCACTCTTATTTTGGAAGTGGTGATGTTTTATTAATCGTACGAGAGAACCAGGCAGGCTTCAGACCAGGAAGAGGGTGTATTGATCATATCTTCACCCTTCGACAGATTCTATGACATAGGCATACTTACCGGCGTCCAACAATCGTCATATTTCTTGACCAAAAGGCGGCATTCGATTCTATCGACCGAGAGGTATTCTGGCGTTGTTTGGCTGTAAAGGAAATGCCGAGAAAATAAATTGCACTGATTCAGGGACTCTACTTGAACTCATGCGGTGAACCAGGTGAGAGCTTAGGGTGAGCTGCCATCTGAACTGGTGACAACTAGTGGTGTCCGACAGGGATGCCCGCTATCCCCATTTTTATTCAATTTCATCATAGATGTACTATTGGAATTAACCCTTACTGCTAAATTCAGCGACTCACGGATTAACTTGTTCCCAGGGAATAATCTTGTTGGCTGAGAATATGCAGATGATATAGTCCTTCTAGGTGAAGACGGTGACAAAATGCAGAGTTTTGTGAACATCTTGAGTTGCAGTCTGCGAATGGTTGGCTGGCAATTCGCTCCTGTCAAATGCAAGATGATGCTACAGGAATGGACTACATTGACTCCTAGCTTAGAAATAGGGAGTAAAGTGGTGGAGTGTGTTGACCGCTTCACTTATTCGGGAAGTTGTATCAACCAGCCCAAAGGGTTGATCGCTGAAATCTCAGCACGCATACAGAAGGCTAGTTTCGCAAATGCCAGTTTACGCTGTCTCTGGCGTAGACGTAATATCCGGCTATCGAGCAAAAGGCGGGTGTACTGCTCAGCAGTCCGCTCCGTCCTCCTTTATGGCTGTGAGACCTGGCCATTGAGAGCAGAAGACATGAGAAGATTAGCTGTCTTCGATCATAGGTGTCTGCGTTCTATTTTCCATGTTTAGTGGTATAATAGGGTGAGCAATATTGAGGTTAGGCGTCGAGGAATCAATCGACGAGGCTGTGAAATTACATCGACTGAGATGGTTAGGACATGTGTTACGCATGCCTAGTCATCGCCTTCCTCAACGGGCAATGTTAGCTGACACAGGGTCAGGTAGGAAAAGAGCCACTGGTGGTCAAACGAAACCATGGCATCACTCAATGAAATCCACAAAAGTTAGTTTAAGCCATGTAGGAGGGTGTAGACTTCCTGGTTGGGGTCCTTAGGGCGGTGAAAACCAATGGCTGGAAATAATCGGTGATATGGCTCAAAATCGTTCTCAGTGGCTGGCGCAGATGCATCCACTCCTTGTAACTTATAATTTCCAATGAAACTGTTTTGTTCTTCGATATTACTATTCTTTTTGCCTCATATCTCTGTTTACTGTCTCTATTTTGCATTTCCTTTTACTTTCTTCTCTTGCTTTGTTTGTTACGTGGAGTGTGGCGACTCGAACTGCTGCACATCTGTCTTCAATGTTGAAACCAGTCAGTCAGTCAGTTTATTAATCGTGCCATTGCACTTACTTAGCACTTTCTTTCAACCGTGGAATACTATCGTTTCAATACATTATTTGCTTTAAATTATTGGATTACATCATGGTTAATAGGAAGACATAAAGATAATACTGTTTGCCTACATCTCTTAACAAATGGCACGGAGTGGTTAACGACAATAATATTTTTTGTATTTGTACTTGAATTTCTTTGGTGCTCATCACTTAGGAATTACAGTAGTAATTGAAATATTCAGTACAATAAACCACTTAACTCTCAAAAAAGTGGTAGGTATGAACACTTCCTCTTCTTAAAGTATCAATTATATGCATGAATAGTTTATTTAGTAGGTAGTAGATCAATTTGCTGAGGAGTAAAATTACTGCTCAGAATAGTTATATTATGTATCAAGGAATTATATCATATTTTTACATGTAAAAATTGCACACACAACTCTTAGTTTTTAACTCTGGATCCCAACATAGTGTTTCCTGTCAACCAATCAATTGTCTGTATGTTATCACCGAATAAGACAGACTATATCATGATTCATATCAACCGACGTTTTCAGCCCTGAGACTGGACGGAAAAAAAGGAGGACTGGCCAATGTTATGGCGTCGGGGGATGAAAGATAGTTGCATCAGGCTAACATATGTAGACGCGCCACAACTCCCTCGGTGGTTTCCAGGAGACATTTCAAAGCAGTGGCTCAAGACACTATCATATATAGTTAGGGACTGTAATCATTGGTGAACATGTTGGAATTCCCTTTTTCCTTCTCTTTTTGAAAGTAACGGGAAGTGATGAACTCTCGTTAAATGCTCTTGACAAGTATACTCGCCTTTTTTCATGATTCTGTTATTCAAGTAACAACGTGTTGTGACTAGTAAGCTACACTAAGTTAAATATGGAAAGATATCATTATATAATGATTGGACTATATCACAAACTGAAAGAAGTTGGAAATCAGCAGTCATTGGATTTTTGTCGAGTCAATGAATATTGACATGCGTGTTATGCACTCATTCTTTTTATACCATAAGTTTTCATTGTAGATTATATCTTAACTAGGATGTAGTAACTTTCGAGGATTTTATGGTTTTCAGTAGTTCCTTAACCAGTATTGATTTGTAACTAATACAGATTTATGAAACTGCAATTTATGCTTTATTTTTACTGTCAATAACAGATGCCGAAAATAGAATACATGGAAAAACGGTGTATTATAATATTTCGAGAACGCTATGATAAACTTGTTGAACGTCGTCGCATGGATATGAAAGATTCGGCTACCGCAGTATCTCAACGTGAGTTCACCTAATTTTGTGAAAATCATTACCTTCTTCGTTTACTGTTTGAATCCTTTGTGAAAAGTAGTTGAAAATGAAATTTATCTAGTTAACAATTGAATTTATGTCAATCTTCTGTTGATTAGCAATTGTCAGTTCGCTATGTATGCCTGATCTACCTTTCAGTTTCAAATGGAAACTCACATTCTTGAACTCATGTGTGTGTGTGTCTGTCATAGGTTAGTTTTATGAGAAATACAATTAACATGATGAAGGTAGTTTGCATCCAGAATTAATTGTACGATTACCAGTAACTACTTTACTCCATCTTTAAACTCTTCAGTCGCCTGCATCGCTGACTAGATGATGCATTTTTCTTCACGTTTATTTAAAATTAAAAGGATGGAATAAAGTTTACTTGTTTTACAGAATTATGAAAAGCAGTATCATCTGTGATTATAAACTAATCACTCTTACACAAAATTATCACACAACGGTAATTTTCGCATCAACTTAGCTATAACAAATTACCTATGTTTTCTATTCTGTAAGCCGTGCTTTATGTGTGCAGATTTATAGTACTAAATTTCCTAAGTCAAAGGATACACAACGGGTATTTAAATCTCAAGTGAATATCTACATTTTAAATAATTACTCGAAGAATATGTTATCAATCAAGACCGGAATTCCTACCTACAAAGTTAGTAGGTAGTTGCCTAAGAGTTGGGAAATATTCTGTAAGTAGTCACTGAGTCAATGGTTGGGAACTAATAGGCCATCACTACTGATGCTTGAAAAACCTCTGTACTTTTGGGCTATCAGGTTATATGAATGATATCGCCGAAATAGAATCTAACAATACCGCTTAGTGTAATAAACGACGGAAACAAGGTAATCGAAGTAATTTTACCAAATATCAAGGAAAGTTTTACGATGAAATAAGGGAAGTTGCACCAAGTAAATATGTATTATTAAGGTTAAAGTGGTGATGAGTTGTGAATCGTCAGACAAGAATAAAAATTGGTTAGGGTTGTTGTTTACGTTACCAAAATATTTCAAAAAATTTGATGAGTAATCAAATTGTAACATGGATGGGGTGAGGATTAGTAAGAGGGTATTAGTGATGATTTCTTACAAGCATAGATGATAGTGTTAGTCAGTCAATGCATAAAAGATGTTGAACAAGCGTATTGTAGTTAAGTTATAAGAGGAATAATTTAATGACTCGGTTGTGATCAGGATGCACATAAAAACGAAGGAGAATATAAAATTATATGAGTTCTAAAGAAATACAAAAGTTATAAGGAGTAAGAAAAACAAACACACAAAGACAGTAGAAATCAACGTGGTTGTTTTCGTGATAGTAGAAGTGGTTCAGTGATTTTCTTTTGTATACATAGCTCCAGTTTCTCTAAATGTATGGCTAAGGCTTCAGACAATACAACGGAGATGAAAGCATATTGCCTCTGCTAAGTCATTCTTCACCTGCTGTACATGCACATAAGAAAATAACTATATATATATATATATATATATATATATATATATATATATATATATATATATATAATTGCAATTGTACAGCTGAGTGAATGAATTTGTCGAAAAGAGACTTTTTGCTGAACTATGTGTTTTGTTTTCACTAATGTCTGGATGGGGATTGTTCATGAATTGTGAATCCACTAGAATGGATTGTTAGCCATGTTCCATAGAGCTTTTTATACCATACATTTCTGAGGGTACTTAAATTCCAGGTAAGCAACCTATGTTCTCCTGCACAGGTCTCTTGTTTGTGGTTACCCATATATTTACTTTCTACTTAACATAGTACGCCGAAGTAGACGGTGAGGAGGCGTGCTATCTTAATCAATATGAGCTTATAACCATCGATAAACGTACCCGTTTTATCTAAGTGTGTATGTTTGACCTTTGCATTGGCCATTTAATAGTTCTAATTTTATAGTTTATATCTTAGCACATCAATATGTCAATTTTCACCGTTTCATGGACCAACTTTATAATCTTTTAGTCGATAAATTCATTTAACTGTGCGACTTTTCTACCAGTCCAGACAGTAGTTATCTTTCAAAGTAAATTGTTTTTTGAGAATTAATTAAAAGGATTCCCTAGGTGTATTTTTCTACAAAGTTCAATGTAGATAAACTTATTTATGTCCTGTGATTTACACTCATATATGACAAATATTTTGTGTATCAGAGAATTTTAAAAAAATGTTAAATAATATGTTTGATTTACTATTTATTTTCCAGCTAACACGTCTAGTTCAAATAATTCGAAAACACCAGAGGAGGTAAAGAATTTTGAAGCTAGACGCAGAAGATGTGCTGAACGCGAATCTCGACGGTAAAAAATATTTAATGTGTAATGAATATGTGGATACTATACATCTTAAACGGATTTTGTCTTTCATGAGAAAATTTTCTAATTACATGAAGCAGTTTCTAATTTCACTTTCACTGTATTCATCTCATTTCAATAGAATGCGACGTCAACGTGCTCGTGAACTTCAAAATCCTGGTGTTTTACAGGTTCATATAGATGGGACCAGTACGGATGAGGAAGAATCACAAGCTGTGATTGCTAAACGTGAAGCTGACATTGGTTAGTGTATCATATAAAATCATAATTCTAGTATTGTATAGAACTTAGACTATTTTTTAACTCTCCATTATTGTTTGTCACTTTTGCGTACACTATCTAATGTAAATGTAAACTGTACTAACGCTAAAGTATTTTGCTCAGAAGTAAGTCGGTTCACATCAAGCTAAAGAACAATGGAGAAGTGAAGACATGGAGTGCATCGAATGAAGATTGTTGGGAAGTAAGGGGAAAAGGATAAGAGTCCATATGCGATGAAACTGGAAGGGAGAGTAACAACATTTTTAAGATGTAGATAAAAGTAAGAAACAAAACAAAAAAAACCAGTTGCATTTACGTAGATTTTCAAACTATCAACGCCTAACATAGTCTATACATTCTAATACATGAAGTGTATTGCCTGAATACTAGAGTTCTGTTTTACTTTGAACAACGTTAACTTTGTGTCAGCCTAATCTTACTTTAGTTTTCTTCAAAATTTGCAATTAAGAGTAATTGCTTATGCATACAGGTTGTCGATTTTGACAAGCCTTATTTTCTTGGGCTGGGGGAGGAGGTAGTATTATAAATCTTCATGTACTATATACCTTACAATCTAATATTTACCCATAATGCATAGTATTCATGCATGAATATATCGTCCATTTTCTGACACTTTTGGTGGTAGAACAAAACAGAATTCGTTTGTGCTCAGCGTGTGCACAATTCTCTCTCCCTCTCTCTACATAGTGATGTTAACAGAAACTGAAAAGTTGTATCTAGGACTTTTTATAGTACACATACATATAACACTTGCAAATTTCACTTAAAGGGAAGAAAATAATTATTTATGTAGTTGATGTTAACTGAAACTGCAATGGGAATCTGGATCACGGCAGGATTCGAACCAACTGTCCCTGATGCTATGCCAGCTCAGCTACGGGATCGAAGTACTAAGCATCTCATCATTTCAACTCAGTCGCCACGTGTAGTGTCCAGATGTCATTATTAATAAATGATACGTTACTATTCGTTTTTGTGGTGTGTGTAGCTACCAAGCTGATTCCTCTCCTGCCAGTTCTAATCATAATGAAAACTAGAAGGAGCGGTGGAGATTGGTTATTTGATGGTGAGACTATCTCAGAGATAGTTGTGTGTTGGTCGACTGTTACTAACGCAGTCGGTGATTATCGGACATGAGATGAAATTAGAATCCCGCACACTACACTAATAAAAGTCCACCAACCTGAGACTATGGTACATAGTCTCACCACCGATATATTTATCTGTTCACTAAATGATGATATCTACATCGTGTTTTTTTCGAGACATCATAAGTACTACGTTGTTTTTCAATTTTTGTTTACGTCTACTATTCGACGGCACTAGTTGCAAACAAAACTGTAAAACAAGGTCACTGTGGTTAAAATCTACCAATGAGTGAATATCATATATTTTGAATACGACACTTAGGGGTATATTTTAAAATTATGAATAACGAAAACCTCTTATTTATTAAAACTGGTCACATCCTGTTAACAAACATGAACCTGAAGTTGGGATGGAGTGTATTACAGTTATCCAGTATCAAATGCATTCTAATCAGTTTTGCTATGGTTTTCCAGTTGAATCTTTTGAGTTTCACGATGCTAAGTGTTTGCACTACTGCTGTTCGATAATGGATTCACGCAAATCTTTGCACAAACCAACAAAAGTTATGAATTAATTCTTACAGTCATATAATTCACAAACTTTAATATACCATATGTCCGACTTACATATATACTCTGAATCAATTTCTTTATACCAGATGCTTTATTAGTCGATGCCAATGCCTTATTCGAGGATGTTGTCGAGGAATTTTACGAGTTGCCATTAATTCTTGAAAGATTTAAAGAATGGCGTGTTATATCACCTGAATCATATAAACAAGCCTATGTATCATTGTGCTTGCCTCAGTTGTTCAGTCCTATAATACGTATTCAGTTGATTGGTTGGAATCCTTTGATAGTAAGTTTTTGTGTTTATTGATAAAATGAACAAATTTTTCTTTTAAGTGACGAAAGGAAGATACTGACTGTTTATTTTCCCGCATATACACGTATATGTTTGCACATTTAAATTCAAGTATTATGATTTATGTAGACATTATTGTTGAACTGTACTACTAACAAATGATTCAGTCGTCCAGTGTTCATATTGTTGAGATTATCGGAAACTTATAGGTCCAAAAAATCTGTTATCTGCTAGTTCCTGTTCCTGTGTTTTAAGCTGAAGCTTGATTGCCTGATGGTTGTGGGATCACAATGATGCAAAGTTCCAAACTAAGATGAAACATACTTAGTCAGTGCTTCCTAATTTTAATCTTTCACTGCTTGATATCGCTTTACAAAGCATTCTACGCTGAAATTAACCATATTCCCAAAACGCCTAAAGCCTAATACTGTATCGAAATTCGACTTATCAAAGGCGGCTCAGGTACTGTGGTATTTTTCATGGGAATATTAAGCTTTCGTCCTTATAAAATGAATTATTGAAGGAGTTCACGCGAGAAATCTTTCCTGGGGCACTCAGAGTCATGGAGTACTTGCTGAAAAGAGACTTATAAGAATATTAATAAAATCACAAACTGCTGCCTATATTTTTACATAAGTATTATTCACTACACTGAAGATATCAGATTGGTTAAGTAAAATTTAACACTGAACCTTCAGTCACCACTGTAAGATGAATATTTCATATACACTATATTATTAGCCATCTAATTTACCGGAGCGACACCTCAGTTTAAGTGATAATCTTATCTGGACACATGTTTATATCTCTCCTCACTCCATACAGATAACTATCCAAGTGATTAGCTCGTGACGAATCGACTAATTTCAGGGCGTTTGTATTCCATAGATGGAAAAACAATTTTGAAGGCTTCAAAGCGAAAGTCTGTTTGTAGAGTGGTATGGGACCTATGGGTATCAGTCGTGAGGTCATCACGTCACCATTCATCGACTAAGTTAGGATGCAGTGGTTTATGTTTTACAACTTATATCATCGTCAATGTCACTGGTGAGTAGCTAACTTAACAACTCATACTGTATGTCATACGAGTTACTATTGTTCATTGAAAGCCGGTGAATGAAAATTTAGGTCAGATTGAATAGTTTTGCCATTTTGTAATTGTCCTATGTAAAAGTCGAGTCTACTGCACATGCTCAAATATTTAAGTTGTTTTTTGGGATCTTTCGTTTGGAAGTAGATCAAATAAATATTACAGAAATAAATGGCGTAGTATCTTCTGTGCATAAACACACCACGGTCCTTGTAACCATACGCCAGACAGGGTCAATAAGGTGAAAGTCGAAAAGAAGAAGGTCAAAGAAATAAAATTAAATGGGAAAATTGATAGGATATACAATATCATCATACATTCGCTCGGAACCATCTTGCGACGTACTTTATTTGGGTTAACATTAGTCCATAAGTTCAACAAAGTGTAAACAAGGGGGTTTGGTTTTCTTCACCCATACCTAGGGGATTAGAAGAGGTTTGTGTCTCACAAATAAGCCCTGTAAGTAATGATGTATTTCATTGGCTTCAGCTTTCAACTTTTATCTTGTCTACCCCAGGCTAGAATACTGCTCTTTCCACTTCAGTCTAAGCATCTGGTATTGTCAGTCCTCATACAAGTATGGCTCATATCCTGGCACATGAGGAATCTGTTCCAGTTAACTGAGTTATTAAGATACTTTCTGTATCATGAGTGCGAAGGCTATCTAGTTCGTAGACAGCACGTGGTCTCTGTGTTTTTTTTATAAAGTGCTGGATCATATGCTAAGCTAAAAGGCAGCTTTATTGAAGATATATATCTTTTTAATGTGGTTGTGTTCTCTGAGCTGGATAGTTAATTTGCGAAGCTTTCATCACCCTACTGGGTGACATCTTCAGCGCATACTTCAATTTGAAGTGAGCTTTTAGATTTCTCCACGAGTTTATTGATCATCTCTCCTGGCGACCTTGGACGTGATTGGTTGTTTTTGTGTGTTTTCACACCTTCTAGGTTACTTGTATTGTCAGTCATTGTTTCTTTGACTTGAACTTTGACCCTTTGTGTGTGACTATTCTTTCTTATCGGTTGATAAATTTTGTCTATTTCGATGTGTCTATTGATTGATGATTCACTGGAATGCCAAGCTTCTAAAAATTCTCTAGCATTCTTGTTGTTTCCTCTGTCTAATATTTGAACGTTGTCCCAGTCGAATTGATGCCCGTGGTTGTCTGTATGTAGTGATATGAGGGAGTGGATATCATGTCTTTTGACAGCTAGCTTATGTTCGTGGATACGAAGACGAAGGGGACGTCCACTTTGGCCAATGTAGTGTTTTTCGCAGTTGATACAATCTATTTTGTAGATGATGTTGGTTTTATCTTCCTTCGCTGTTGAGTCTTTTGGTTGACATAGAATTGAGTGGAGTGACTTTGTCGGTTTGTGTACGACGTCAATTCCTAAAGGTTTGAAGAGTCTTGTAGTGATTTCTGAGATGTCCTTTATATATGGTAAGGCGATTTTCTTTGTGCTTTCCTTGAGGGCTTTTGGTTTGATAGGTTGGCTTGGGGGTATATGTCTTTTGATGAAATTCCGTGGATATCCATTCTTTTGGAAGACGTCCATGAGATATTTTTCTTCAATTTTCCTTGAGGTGGGAGTGCTGCAATGAGTCCTGGCTCTCTTGAATAGTGTTTGTATACAATTCCTCTTGTGTGCTATTGGATTGTTGCTGTTGTAATTCAGGATTTGGTCTGTGTGAGTTGATTTTCTATAGACTTGAGTTTCTAATTCCCCTGTCGTTGTTCGCTTGACTAAGACGTCCAAAAATGGGATTTGGTTTTCTGATTCCTCTTCTCTTGTGAATTTGATGTCGTTGAAGACGTTGTTTATCAGGTTGTGAGCTTTATCTAACTCGTTTCTTTTGATAATTACAAATGTGTCGTCTACGTAGCGTATCCAAATCTTGGGTTTGATCTTTGGTAGAATTATGTTCTCGAGCCTTTGCATCACTGCTTGTGCAATCAAACCTGATATTGGCGATCCCATAGGTGTTCCTTTGACTTGTTCATATATTTGGCCGTTGAATTGGAAGTACGTTGTTAGGCATAGGTTTATGCATTCCGTCCAACTTGTGTGTTGCATTTTTGATTTTTGTGGAAGGTGTTCGTCGTTGCTAAGTAATTGCTCCATGGTTTCTTTTGCTAGTTTTTGTCCGATTGAGGTATACAATTCTGTGACGTCGAAGGATATCATTATCTCTTGTTCATCTATGTGGATGCCTCTGATTTTCTCTAGGAATTGGATAGCGGAGTTGATGGAGTGATCACAAGATTCCGTTAGGTGTTTTAGTTTTCTGTATAATTCTTTGGATAAATTGTATGTTGGAGTTCCTGGTAGTGATACAATTGGTCGTAACGGGATATTTGGCTTGTGTATTTTGGGTCTGCCGTAGAATCGGGGTAGGACTGGTCCACTGGATTTCATTCGCCATTGGTCTTGTTTTGTGATTTGTCCAGTTTTGGTAAGCTTGTTTAAGGTCCTTTGGATGCGGTTGTCCAGTGTTTGTATGGGATTTGTTGGGAGTTGTTGATACACATCCTCGTCTTTGAGTAGTTCTTCAGCTTTCTTGGTGTATTCTTCTCTGTCCATGATTACTGTTGTTCTTCCTTTGTCGGCTGGTAGAATGACGATGTCCTTCCTATTTTTCAGCTTTTTGAGGGCCTTTATTTCTTGAGAGTTGAGTTGTGTGTGTTGTTTTTTCTGTTTTACCATTGGTACAATTGTTTGGCGTATCTCTTCCTGTGTTTCCTCCTTTAAGTTTGATGATTTGAGTAATGATTCAAGGGCAGCGAAGAAATCAGTTTTCGAGGCATCTCCGGTGTTGTAGTTTAATCCTTTTTGTAGTAGTTGTTGTTCCATTTTTGATAGTGGTTGTTTTGATAGGTTGGCTACGCAGTCTATAGGTGTATTGTCTGGTTGTTGTTTTCTAATCTTGGCTAGCTTGGTTTTGAGGACTCTTCGTCTTTGTTCTCTGTGTTTTCTACTTGACAATGTAATTGCGGTGATCAGCGTTGACAGGTGTTCCTGATTGAGGGTTTTCTCTAGTTTTTCTTTTCTTTTTGGACATCTATTATTTGTTGATATTTCTTGATCCGATAATGTGCGTCTGTAATCATTAATTTGACCATTCGCCTTCCACATTGTTCGGCCAATTTCCATCCCATTGAGCAGTTGACTGGTGGTTTGTATCTTACACTGGTCGGTAGGATTTGATGACGAAGGCATTCGTGGAGAAAGAATAATTGTTCTCTGGTGGATCATTGCCTTTTGGCGAAGTCTTCCCACTTTCGAACAGAGAGAAGCGTTTCCCGCTCGTAAGATTTGGATATGATAGAGAAGATTTGTAGCTCAGGTGGATGATTTTGATGTGGTTGTGTTCTCTGAGCTGGATAGTTAATTTGCGAAGCTTTCATCACCCTACTGGGTGACATCTTCAGCGCATACTTCAATTTGAAGTGAGCTTTTAGATTTCTCCACGAGTTTATTGATCATCTCTCCTGGCGACCTTGGACGTGATTGGTTGTTTTTGTGTGTTTTCACACCTTCTAGGTTACTTGTATTGTCAGTCATTGTTTCTTTGACTTGAACTTTGACCCTTTGTGTGTGACTATCTCTTGGATGAACTTGCTCTCATCTCCATATCTATGAATATATAGGTCAAAGGAATAAAATATCCTAGAGGCCAAAGTTTGAGGTCAATTAAAAGATCTGGGAGTGGAGTAAAATGATGCTATACAACACAGGAAATGATGTAGGAAGTTTGTGAAAACTCAGGATTGAGGGGAAAACGTGCTGAGTAATGTTTATTTCTGGAGATTGACAACAAATATACAGGAGAAATTGCTGGATGACCCTTTCAGGCCAATGCAGATTGAGAGATTTTGATTACAGGTGTATTGGTTCCATTGATCATTTCAAGTGGAGCAACATAATAAGTAGTAGTGAGGTTAGGCGTAGAAATTAGTTGACGAAGGTGGATAGAACGGCGTGTTAAATACTTTGGATCACATAATCAAGCATACGTATCACTATGTTTGTCTCAGTCGTCCATTTTAGTTCCAGTATATTTTTCCCCTCTATGTTTATATGCTTTTCCGAAGTGTAGCAACTTGGACTGATGCACTTCTGTGCAAAGCCCTACATTGACTCGTCAACTGGCCTAGAGAATGTCTTTTCATCGGAAAAGCGAGTAAAATCCTGTTTATTTAGTATGAATTATTTAGGAATACTGTGACAGCGCTTTAATCTCAGCACAACACTATTCAAGTTTTCACTTTTCTTAATTCAGTTCAGTGGATTTCTGTAGTCTTTCGGTACGGGCAGTTAAAATTTAGTTTCACTGTTGAAGTACTGGAGAGGCTAGTTTGTAAGTATTTCACTCATCAATGGACGCTAAATTAAATTAAATCTGTAGTTCTTAGTAGTCAGATCCCCAAAATTGATATTTTTTCCTAAGGTCCGTCGACTTTCAATGTGGAACCAGAGAATTAGAAGACATTGATTGAGCACTGAAGCTTGAAAGGATAGTTATAGTTGCTATAACCTTCTCTTTCCTTACCCTATAGTTAAATGCAAATATTTTCTTATGTCATACCGGAGCTTGAAAATTATTAAATCGATTTAAAGTATCTGTAATCCACCGAAGTCAACTGGCCAGATTAGTTGGATTAGTTTGATGGATGAAAAACAAAACAAGATTGGGTTTTACTGACTTTTCGCCATTGCAATACTATAATAGCTTTACCAGTGTAATGATAAACTGTGATAAAGTTATTATCATTAACCAGAGAAAAGTCAATTAATTCTATTTTTGTTTTGTTTGTCATTCATTAGGGGGGGGGGGAGCGGGAGAATACGAAATCTCAAAATAATGTTTATCGTTTATCTAATGCCTCTAAATCTTCTCAAATAATCACATCTGAACTTGATATACACATTTACAGATTAGTCTGGTCTTAAATTTAGAGGTTTTCATTACTGAGTTTATCAGCTGATCTTGTTTACGCGATGGTTAACCAAAATGCAGTATATGTTAATCTCTGATATCTTGAATTTCGTATGCCACTTATCCTAAAATTTCTCCTACCTCTAAAATTGTGAATTGAATCGGTCAAAGTGTAAAGTCTCAATTCCTTGTAATGATTGGACGCCTAAATTACTGACATTTTCGTTGCTGTTTACATCCTAGAAGTGCAACTGTACTCACAATCTTTCTGTATTGTATTAGTATTATTAATAAAGTGATTCACTTTCATCAATTTATGATCTGATTGAGCATTTTCCCTCCTTTTTGTATACTATTCATTTTAGAATGATTCTAATCCTATTGAGGAAATGAAGTGGTTTCAAGATTTATTAGATTTTTGTAGTCTTCCAGAAGGTGACAGTAATGATCTGAAGCCAAAAACTGGCAATGATTATTGTGATGATACTAAGAATAGTAGGAACGAGGAGAACTCTGACAATTTTGATGATGATCTTCGAGTTATACCGAAATCGGTGGAAAAAGTAGTTTTACAACTATTGAACGGTAAATTATTATTATTTTTTTTGGGCACAATAATCATAACGAACTTTATGGAGTTGTGCCATGACTATTGTGTATTAGACTAGGTATCAATAAACAGTGTGTCTTTTCAGAAATCTATTGATCTCGTCACTGACTTGAATACAGTTTTTGTTATGTTTGGTCTTTAAGTGGTCAAATTGCCCTGTATTTTACTAGTGGTTATATTTAACCGTAAGAAAGATAACAGCTACTGATAAGCTATAAAGTCAGTTTATTGCGATGTTCAGCTGTAGAAAACTTACACACGTTGACAGGCGATCGCTTTGGAGATAGCGAAAGCCAGTAATTGTAGGAGGACATTAATGGCTTATTTTCCACTGTAACCGACATCACTGTTTCTCCTGTCATGCAGTTAAATAATCTAAGTCGTGTAACTTAAGCCTACTGGAAATGTCGAGAAGCGTAAAATAGGTTTTCAGTTAGGTGGTTTGTGAGCATCTGGCCAGTTTGAGTAGTTTCAGTTAGGCATTAGTTGACGTTAACCAGAAAACTGTTGGATATTAGAAACACAAGGTAGTTGTTTCGTCTCTATTCAATGCGTTTTAACAGTGTGTATACACGACTTGCTCTGAAGACTCATTTGATCTTGTGATGGATCACTTAGTGCCAATATATTGCTACGCAATTTTCAAATTTTGCAGCATTGAAATAAACCCTTTCACTATCGTCAATGCATTTAGAATCAATCATACCTCATTAATTTTCCTTCATTTTTTTTTCGTGTGTTTTGTACGTAGAATTGATTTATGCTTCATGGGATCCATTATCTGAAAAGCAGTCATCACGTCTTGTTAATTTAATGCAAGACCTTAGTTCAACTTATCCAACTGTACGTATCGGCAGTCGACCGACAGAGAAGTTATTCACATCCATTGTTAAGCGTATCGAAAACACAATACAAGAAGATATTTTTATACCACTCTATCCCAAAAGGTAGGTGTTCTTATCATCATTTGTGTTTTATTTCAATCTGTAAATTTATCAGTGGGTATAACTGTTACTTATGACTTCTAGTGTGAATGAAGTGATCACTCCTTTCAGCTCTTGGCTAAAGAGTTCTTCGGCCAGATTAATGTCATATATACCTAAGATTGTGATAATTATGTGTTAATAACAGGAAATGCAATTATACTAGGCGTTTGAATATTATAGATTCTTTCAATTTTACCGTCCACGTTCCATGAAATATTGAGTTTCCGCCTAAAGTTATAAGTCGACAGGCAAGTTCAACCCGACACCGAATTAGGTGGTTTGGATATCTTTTTTTCTTTTTCTTTAATTAATGCATCCGAAAGTAAAAGCTGCGATGTAAAAGCTTTTCGGTGGTCAAAACAAAAACAGAATCATTTATTAAATATTTTAGATTTTTTTCCCAACTATATATAGAAAGTAGGAGCTCATCATCCCATTATGGATAAAATTTTATTTTGATAAAGTCACACAGTGTTATACAGTAATATTTACTGGTGACCACTTTTCGAGCACAATTTATTACTCACATCGCCTTGATATGATTATGAACAAAAAAAAATGTGCTCAGAACTTCATCAGTAAATATTACTGTATAAACTGTGTGACTTTATCAAAATAAAATTTTATCCATAATGGAATTATGCTCTATCACAGTGCCCAAGTTTTATCCGTATATCAATAATGCATAAGGAGCTCATCATCGTGACTAAATGAAGCAGCTACAGTACTGGTGCCTATCGTTTCTCCCTTTAGATCTCTTCAAAGTTTTGCTTTTAAATACTTGTTGGTTGACCATCTTAATATTTTCATTTTACTGATTCTGTTTTCATGTGTGCACTTTGTTCTAACCTTGATATTGTCCAGTCTAGCTTTGTATTATTCTCCGTCTAATAAGCAGTACGACCCTTACTTTTATTTATTTCTAGACCCGAACTAGTCTTTACAAAATGGTGATAAATTTCTTCAGAGATCATTTCTAATGTGAATTTCCTTTAGAAATCGTGTCAAAAAATCACTAGACTTTCATGTCTCATTGTGAATCACATTTAGAGGTTACAAGACTTTCACTTGTTCTATGCCTATAGTGTGAGGAGTATTCAAATTGAGCAGAGTTTTTGTAAAAAAGGAGATTCAGTAGACGAAACCGTAGGTGTAATAAGTCTGTGGGGACCAGGTCATTACATATACCTTTTACAGCGTGGTAACTTGAACTGATGTTCTTCTGTGCCGAAATTTCTATTTTGTTTCGTCAGTCAGTCGGCTATCGTTTAAACCGACACGTAGTGTTAACAGATTCGGTTACAGAATGAAATAAGCCTATTTGCTGTCATATGAACGCGTGGTGCTAACTCATGAAATCGTTCCCTGATGCCAGGACTTATATCGTATTTAGGTCAAATTGTCTAGTTTGACAGAATTTCTTGCTCATATATAAATAGTTCAGAAATTCGACTCCTTTAGTAAACATTTGGTTATATCATCTTTTCTGAAGATAAGTAGATAGTATTATTAACTGTACTATGTAATAAATATGAACTATCATTGTGACACAGTGATGTGAGACAGTAAGTTATAGGGTGATGGTTGCTTCTGTTAATTTACATGAACAATCACTTTTCCAACTGTGGTGTTCCTCGCACACTTTCTCTAACTGAATAATTGTATATCGGTTTTCAAGAGAACTGAACACACTCATTCCAGCCCTTTGCAAGGTCAAAACGGCATATAGTGCCATCTTGCGGCACAACGATTCGGATGTCCTCTTACCCGGTGGATTGCTGTTTTCTCTAATCTCTATTTTTGAATTTATTTGTGGCTCTGTATTTCAATAATTCAGATCATGTAACAATCTTTCCCAAATTACAAAGCCTTGTTTGGTTTGGGTAGTACCTCTGGTAGTCGTTTCCTGGCCAACAGCAATATCAACAACAACAGACAACAATCAGCATAAATGGGAGAAATATGAAAGAATCAACCTCCTTTGCCTACCTGAGAAGCATCGTTTCAACTACAGGCGGGACTGACGAGGATATCAAAGCGAGGATGGGGAAAGCAAGGCAAGCTTTCATTACTCTCAGGTCGGAGATCAACAGCACTCGGCATGAAAAACAGGATGCGGATTTTCAAATCCAATGTGACGTCAGTGCTTCTATACGGATCAGAGACTTGCAGTGCGCGTCAAGAAGGGCACTTCAAACAAACTACAGACCTTCACCAACATCTGTCTTCGCTCAGTACTCAAGTTCAGATGGCCAGAAAAGATCAGCAACAGAGATCTCTGGGAGCGAACCAACCCAGCAGGAACCCATTGTGCAACAAATAGGCAGGAAGAAATGGAGACGGATTGGCCACACTCTGAGGAAACCAGCAAGTGACATCTCTAGACAAGCCATTGCTCGAGTGGAACCCGAAAGGGAAGCGGCGAGTTGATCGTCAGTGCAAGGGTGACCTGGAGGAGGTCATGTGAAGAGGAGATGAAAATGTGTGGGCAGACTTGGAGCCAGATGAAAACGTTGACAGAGAACCGAACGCAATGGAGACATACGGCTGAAGCCCTATGTTCCTCTAAGGACAAAAGGAAACAATAATAATAACAATAATCTGGTAGTCGTAAAATATATGCATACAATGACATATGTTTTATCAACTTGAGGACTGCTCTTAAGTTAAATGCTGTCATCTCTGCTACTATCATTTGTTAAATATATACTTACCAAGATGTCTTTAAAATTACCTCCAACCGTTGAATTCAGTGTCCTATGTGTTTTTAATATTTCAGTCATGTGTAGCTGAAACTTTTAACATAACAAGCCATTAGCTAATGATGTAAACATTTTTGATCATTATGTTTGCGTTCAATAAACAGTTCTTTTACTTCTGTGGCTTTTGTCAACGGAGCATCAGTTTGTGCATCATCTTGAAGTCAGTAGCGCCATGAATAGGTTCTAAATTGTGAAGCATTACTGAAATTGATGTCTATACAGAATACGGCGGTTCTGTCATCAAAATAATGGAAAATCTACAATCAGCAAGGCTGAAGAAGCATCATTTATCTGAGCTGCAGACATCCATTCACATTTGTAACTATTTTGCTAAATGTAATGTTATAAGAATTTAACTTATGGCTTCTGAAACTCTTCATATTGCGTAACTTTTTTTCTTTTTTAAACATTACTGTAACAGTTTGATGCAACAACGTCAAGGTGCTGCTTTCCTCTTTTTTGAACGTCAGTTTAACATGGGACTAAAGGTAATTCTTCTATCTTTTTTAATTTCTTTTTGGATATAACTATTACATTTATCTATCTATTTACTGGAACATTTTCTCGGTTTGATGAAATTGTTTCTCCTGTTCAGATACTCAAAGTCTTAATTTATTCATGATGTAAACAAAAAAACCGAAAACATATTTAACAAAAAAAATCACTATTTTCAAATTCTGTCAGTGTATTCCATTTATCGCTGTTAAGGCGATCTGTCCAGAATGGTATAAGAGCTAGGTATTTCCCTCTTATCACATTTATGGAAGTTGACTTGTTCACACTACAAAAATCAGTCATCCATTGTCTTAGAAACTAAGAAAGAATTATGTAAGAAGTGGGTTTCTTAGCTAAATAAGTCCCAAAACTTAGTATTAACATTTCGAATTCGAGGATTTTGTAGCCAGTAAATCTACTTTGTAGTGTTGTTTAATGAATATCAAACTGACATCACAGAGTTCTCGTATTAAATATTTTAGTTATACGCAGGGCAGTTAGAAAGTCATTGTTGGAAATTAAGTGTTGTTGTATTCTTCAGTGTTTGAATTGTGGCTAAGTAACAGCAGGTTTATTTTTCTCTTTACACTGTTGTTTTGCCTATGTAGATTCAATGTTGATTTTGTCCTTTTTACAGTATCCACTGGTATGACCACTGAAAACTAAATTTAATTGGTTGACTAGTTGCGGTGTAGGACCCATCTTAACTATCCATCGTTGACTCTGACTTAAATAAAAATGTTTATCAGGGTAATAGGCCACTATGTTAATTCGGTCACTTGTTTGGAATCTAATAATCATGGTTTTCAACTTCTTCTGATGTTCAATGTAGCTACACTGTTGTCCAATGTCATCGATGGTTTTCTCTTTACCTAACCTGAACTCTGGAAAATGTATCTCTTATTCTCTCTTATTCAGGAATGAGAAGATGACTAGAATTCACTCGTTCAGCAGTTATTGGGGATCGGATTGACCAAAGTCCCTTACAATCGTAAATCTAAGTCATGAGTGAATAATTCACAGTTCGAAAACAGGACAAAATAGTTGCTTACTGCATTTATTGTTCATCCCAAGACGCTCACTCCCACTTTACATTTATTACTGAAAACAAAAGGAAGGAGCGTATTACATTCTGATAAATTGTTATATTATTCGATTGTTGCTAGAAGTATTTTCACCACATTGGTTTGAAGCGAAGTCTACGGCTTACAGTTATCAAATGCTTTGCGGTTAATAGTAAGTGATATTTCGTCTTACCTATTCAATTATGCATATCCATGATGCTTATTTATCTTTATTTATATTTCTCTGTTAACTAGCTTTTGAAAAATATTCTTCTTTGGTCAAATCTGTTAAGTGTGGAAACAATGAAACACATTAGCCTTACTTGTCTGGTTAATCGTTACCTGTTAGTTGGACTTGCCTGCTTACTCTCTGTAGCTACCCCTACGTCAAATGAAGAAAAGAGTAGCTTGACTAGCACACCATTCACTATGGGAACAGGTACTGATCAATCGGGTTCATTAGCTTTCTGTGATGCTGTACAAAAATTACAGAATATTGTTGAATTGTTACCCCGTGATTGGCTGAAGTCGTCTGTTAAAATTAAACAGGAAAATCAGTCATCGGAGGGAACCACATCAACTCCAGATCCACTTGGTCAGATTAAGAGAATTTTGTCACAATTATTGGAGTGTGTTCCATCCGGTCGAATGTATGCTGATATTTCTGGTCAATTGGGTGTTCAAGCAGATGAACGGTAAGTTGATCGAAATTCTTATTGTTAATTAGTCTGCTATTTACCTAACTCTGAAATTTTACTAACTAGATACGAGACACCACTGACTGAACATTTAGTCAGACATAAATCATGATGAACAAATGACTGACTGCTTGGAAACCATGTATAAAGTTCCAAAACCATGGACAGAAAGAGATGAGTGTACTTTTGTTGAAGCAGTACTATGTTGAGAAATATCATTGATTAAATGATGTTATTGGTTTGACTAACGACACTTAAAACGTCTACAGCCTTCTGATATGAAAACAGATCATAATAATCTTAGGTGATAATGGTATCAAAACACTAAACTCTTTGTCAAGCCTCAACACAGTGCTTTTGGTGAATAAAAGACTGACTGCAAATAGGCAAATAAACCTTCATTAATTTAATCCTCTTTGGCCCACTAGACAAAATAATTTGGTTTTCTAAATTCCAAGTATTATCGCCTTGTAACCAGAAAGTTCTGGTTTAGAACCCTGGTGGCTGCGTACTGCTGAAGAGTCCCAAACTAGGACGAAACGGCTGTCCAGTACTCTCAGGTTTTCCAATGGTTCTCTAACTAATGTCAGCTCATGATGAAATCCTGTAGCCTATTATCCACTGAGTTGAATATGCGGACTGATTCACTCTACAGACAGGAAATAATTCGTTTGTGCCTATGAATACCTGAAATTATATGCATGATGTCAAATACATAGCAGTATTGAGAATAAATTTATGTATAAAAAAAGAAGTTAGTAGTTCAGCCTTTGTTTGATGCAGATGTTATACCTATAGTTTTACCGTGTCCTATACCTGTTATAATATTTTAATTGTGTCTTACCATGCTTGTATTTTCTTATTGTTTTAGGGATTGTATTAGAACACTGCATCGTATTCGTGATTTATTAAAGGATTGATTTCTTTAAAACTTCTTTATTTATGTTTATTGTGTACATACTGATTTATTTTACAGAAAATACATGAAATTGTGATCTCCTGGAAATTTTCTCTCTCATTTCAGTGATTAGAGTAATGACAGTGCGTTTGAAGGAAAATTTCGCTTTTCAGTGGATTCATATTAACGGCATACTGCTTAATACCTATAATACTGTCATGTAATTCGATTATTAGGCCTAAGTTTTATTAAGACTTGGATTTTTTTTTTGAACTATTTCCATTTGTTTGATTGTGACTAACTTCACTAGTCATTGTTTCTAATCGTATCCAAACTACAAGATGTGTTCATGTTAGGCGTCGCCTCAAATCCGCGTTGTGTTTGAGTTATGAATGAAATGTGTGTAGGAATTTGTACTGTTTTGTAACTGAATTAAAAAGTGTCACACCAGATCACACAATAACAAGATGGATTGTAACAGCAGTAGTAGTGTTGTATTATCATAACAATCAAAGTTCAGGCATCTCGTCAAACAGACATTAATCGTATTTCATACATTTATTCGCTCTTATGAATTTGGACAAAGCAAGAACAATAGTTTGTGCAGAACAAGATGTTACCATCACTTCTATTTCGTTGGCTTCTCATCATCTGCTCACAGCCTAAGTAAATTATTAAGTTTATGTACATAAAAGTTTTAACATACTTGCAAATTTTAAATGATGTCAGTTGACAGGAGGTTGCAAACTTAATGAAAAGCGCTGAGAAAATTACACTTATATAGTTTTTACATAGGGGGGTGTTGAAGTTTAAACAAAATCAATGTGTGCATACGAAGGGAAAGACGAGAGGTGCGTAGGATGATGAGTTACTAATAAATTGGGTAACAGTGTACTGAATTCAACTCATGTCATAGAAACAAGAGACAAACAATATTACACTATATCAAAGGGGAGTGAGGTTAAAGTCAAATGGGAGAGTAAAGACTTCCAGTTACCGGCGCGAGGAAAGACTGATAACTGCTTTTTTTCTGAACACATAAATCGTGTTTCAAGCGTTTGATAAAGATTACTTCAGCAAACTTGAGGAGAATTGAGCTTTTTCGTCTATCGATAATTTTAAAGGATTCCGCGATTTCCACCTCATGACCCGTATCAAGGAGATGCTTGGTAATGGCACTACTGTAAGCGTTTGTTTCCTTGAGACGTAGGTTTTTTTCCTTCACGTTCCCCAGTGGAACATAGGGCTTCAAGCTAGTGGCTTGAAATTTCTGTAGCAGTGTTTATTCTACAGGATAGGGTTGCTAGCCTCATGCCCAACCTTTCCTCTTCACCAGCATTATTTCTGGCTTAGCGAGGTAAAGGAGTGCGTCGGCCGGGAATCGAACCCCGGATCATGTGCATGGTCGGCGAGCGTCCTGACCTCTATGCCACCGACGCCTGAGACGTAGGTACATGTTGAGAAAATCGGAGGTGTGCCCTTCCCCCAATATAACTGTTCCCGCACACACACGTAAACTTGTACACACAGTTGGAGTTGACATGAGAAGGGTATCTGTCGACTTTTGATTGCAGTACCATAGACCATATAGTCTGATAGACGCGAACCAGCTTAGCTGCAGCATAGGCTCTGGCTAGTGATGTACTCAATCTTCTGTTAACTATTGCTGCAATATTTTCACCTTTAAAATCAAGATAAATGAAAACAGGCTTTTTCCCCACTGTGATTTGTTTGACATTTGAGCCTTCACATATTCAATATTTGTTAATGAATTTCTAAGGGTTATCGTTGTTTGTCAGCATCTTTTCGAGAATCATAAATTCTTCCTCTAATTCCTTTGTAGAGCATATTCTCCTAACTGTGTAGGACAGAGTCTTGACTAGTGCTCGTTCATAGCTATTTAAACAAAAGCTATTAAAATGTAGATATTTTCCATTACACATAGGCTTTCGGTGAATTGACCTCTGGAGACTACCAGGCGTTGCATGGCAGTGTCAATGAAATGGAACTTTCTATCATTTTCATGTTCCATGGTAAATTCAAAATTACCACGTGCGCCTCTGAATATTTTTTGATTATAGCTTGATTCCAAACCGTATTTTTGGTATAAGTGTAGAATTTTCAGCATGTGATATCGGTGGCCCAATTTTATTATTATTATTATTTCCTTTAGTTCCTAGAGGAACATAGGGCTTCAGCCATGCGTCTCCATTGCGTTCGGTTCTCTGCTAGAGTTTTCACCTGGCTCCAAGTCTGCCCACACGTTTTCATCTCCTCTTCACATGATCTCCTCCAGGTCACCCTTGCACTGACGATCAACTCGCCGCTTCCCTTTCGGGTTCCACTCGAGCAATGGCTTGTCTAGTGATGTCACTTGCTAGTTTCCTCAGAGTGTGGCCAATCCATCTCCATTTCTTCCTGCCTATTCGTTGCACAATGGGTTCCTGCTGGGTTGGTTCGCTCCCAGAGATCTTTGTTGCTGATCCTTTCCAGCCATCTGATCTTGAGTATTGAGCGAAGACATCTGTTAATGAATGTCTGTAGCTTGTTTGAGGTGCTCTTTGTGACACGCCAAGTCTCTGATCCGTATAGTAGTACTGACTGGCCCAATTTTGCAGGCCGACAATTGCTATCAGGTGTGCGTCGGCAGGGGATCGAACCCTGGGATATGTGCCTGGTCAGCGAGAGTCCTAACCGCTGTGCCACCGAACAGGCAGGAAGCATGACTTTCATTGTTGTACACTACAAATGTATCATCGACAATAATAGTATTATAAACCTACTGTGTAGTTAGATTATATATATTCATCAAGCAAACTCAGACATATGACACTAACAAAAATACAATTAGACATTGTCAACTAAATGGAAACAACCAATATAATTGGAATAATAAGTTAGACCATCACGTTCATTTGCATGCTGGATGAGCAATCAAATAAACAAGCCCAAATGGTCTATTGTATCATGAACACAGACGTATGAATGTAAGAATATTTAGAAATAAGTATTGAATTAATACATCAAAAGATCTGAGTGTCATTCAGTGTTAATTTGAATTTCATTAATTTTTTAGGTTCGAACAATTTTCAGAGAGATTTATAATCCGAATATTTTACTAAAGTTATCCTTTACTGTAACACTGATTGGTTCTTATCTGAATCTTTAATGTGTACTGTTAAGATTTGGGATGATTATTAGGTCACAACAAACTGAATTTAGTTCTAACAAACTGCTTCTAAGTGTCTTGTATCATGCATTGTTCCAAAGTGTGCTGCATCATTCGGTCGTTTGTTTTAAACACTCCTGATTTTGGCTATTTATCTATCCTGTTTAGTCTTCAAAGAATCTTAGAAAACGTTCATTCTTACATGGATGGACTGAACTTTAGTAGTTTGAGTGTTGAGTGTAACAATAATAGGAACTGCTGTCGTACAAAGTTTGCCAGTTGTCATTCTATGTATTCTGACATCATCGTTATTATCGTTATCCACCTTCCGAATCAAGAGTACTTCTGAGCACGTACGGTATAATCATTATGTAGCTTTTCTTTCAGACAAGGTATTCTAGCTATTGTAGTGAACGTAATCTTCATGAAGCATAAATGCAAATAAACTTACCACACATTTAACATAACAATTTACCGCGTTAAAAGTTTCTCACAGTGTGATGAATACAGAACTAATCGGTTAACAGTCGAGTGCTAGGTAATGAGGGGAAATCAGTCGACGAGACTGTGAAATTACATCGACTGAGATGGTTAGGACATGTGTTACGTATGCCTAGTCATCGCCTTCCTCGACAATGGGCAATGTTAGCTGATAAAGGTTCAGGCTGGAAAAGATCTAGCGGCGGTCAAACGAAAACATAGCACCAGTCAATGAAATCTACAACAGTTAGTCTAAGCCACGTATGAAGGTGTAGACTTCCTGGTTGGGGTCCTCAGGCCGGTAAAAACCAATGGTTAGAAACAATTGGTGACATGGCTCAAAATCGTTCTCAATGGCGCAGATGCATTCATTCTTTGTGATCCATGATTTCCAATTAAACTGTTTTGTTCTTCGTTATTACTATTCCTTTGTATCACACCTCTGTTTACTGTCTATATTATGCATTTCTCCTACTTTCTTCTCTTGCTTTGTGTGCTACATGGAGTGTGGCGAGTTGAACTGCCGCACATATGTGCAAAGTTCTATGTCGAAAACCGACCGATCGGTTAACAGTCAATGTCCATAAGAATGATACATATTTTATACTATCAGAGTGGAAAACATTAGCAAGTTTATCTGAGACCTGTATCCCTATTCACACTCATAATCGAACTGTAACATGTATTCGAAATGATCGCATATTTAGTTAGTCTGGTAAATAATATTGACTTAACGGATGAGACTCCCACTTGCATATTGATAGGCAGAATATCGTAAATCCCTCTGATTCAATTCTGATATTGCTTATGGTGTTGTGGCTCGTTGAATTAGGCATTCAGCGTTGAACCATTAGGTCGTGGTTTCAGTTTTTGATGACTAAAGTATACCTGTGTACTTGTGAAACCCATCGTCTACCAACCAGAAACGATTAATACCTGAAGAGAAGAAAAATAGAGAGAGTTGAAACATTAAGTGAAGGTAAACATACTCACTTTGTATTGGATTTGGAAGCAGAAGAAACAAGAAAGCTGTAGCATAATTTTCATTTATTTATACTGAGCTATGTCAGAGAAAATCTCTAGTCACTAAGTCAACTTATCTCCCAGAAGGTCATAATGCACCAAGGGATGGTAACCCAAAACTTCTTTTCATTCTATGGGCTGATTATTCTTCAGAATCACATAGGTGGAAGCATTCTTACGGAAACAGTTGTTATTAGTCAAGCAGAACTCCCCAGCTTAGCGTTTCTTACAAATAATTAACTTCATTAGAAATTTGGTATGTTACGATTTAATCTGGGCCCCTTTGAATAACCATATGGTAGCTAAACGTTGATTTAGAATAATATCTTTTTACGTAATATTCATTATCTTTGTAACAAACAGGATCCTTTGTGTGTTCAAGACAAAAGAAAACCTGGTTTAGTATTAAGGACCTGGTTTGTAGTTATGATCAAGAGAATCTGTGACAATGTTTAGCTGTGAAATGAGTCCTGAAAAAGGATAGTATACTCATGAAGGTCCTACTTGAACTCGGAAAGCCGTTCCAAATGGTAAGGAGAATTATCATCTTAAGTGAAGAAAGTCAGTATTCGTCATAGGTGCTCAGTAGCATCATTTTCAAAAATTTCATGTCAGATTTACTGATGGAGTTGGTTGTGTCAGACTTTAGTGTCTAAGGGACTAAATTGTTACCAAGGAAAAGTCTCACTGGTCTATAGTATTCAGATGAAATCTTCATTCCAGGTGAAGACGCTGTAAAATCTCAGTTTTCTGAGCATACTGAACATGAATCTAAGTGTTAATGTCAGTAAAACGATTTAACATTGCAGAATAAATCAAATAAATTGTAATTATATTTAGATAGTTTGCACACAATGGTAAGTTCTTGTTTTTGGTAATTTTGCTCGAAATATTACCAAAAACATGAACTTATCATTGTATGTAAACTTTTTCAATATAATTATAATTTATTAA